GCTCATTAGCATATGCCACACCCCCTGACATCAGGGGCCCGGCGGTGGACCTGCAAGGCCAGCAGGGTTGCGAGGAAGCCCCGCCAAGGCCCTCCCTGGCCCCAGGCAGGCAGGGGTGGGGAGAGGTGGGGAGGAAGCAAGTTACCCTCCCTCTTCTCCTGCCTCCTCCTGGCTGAATGAGGGCTGGAAGCGGGGCGGCCAGAAGCAGGGGGCGGGGCTTCGTTGTGTGCCCCGCCCCCCACACCTCACCCGGGGGAACTGCGATCCCCGCGATCCCCCCCGAAATGACCTCTGGTGATTTGACTGTACTCTAGTTGTTGATGTTCAAGTTCTCTTTTTTACAGTGGTTAAGTTAGTGTATTGCTTTTGGAGCACCAGAACTGAGCCTAGGGTGACTCCCACTACAGGAAACAGGAAGTAATTGAAATTAGTCCTGCCTCCCTAAGTGATGGATGGGAATCAGCCACAAGATGTCCTCCAAGCCTCAGAGGAGAAGGACCCTTCACGGTGAGTAACCAATGGTCGTTCTAAGACAGCTGGCAGGTGGGGGTGGGAGCTTCTCACCCTTATCAAAAAATGACCATGAACATCAGACCCCAAAGTGTCAACAATACAATTGGATTCTGGGTCCAAAAAAAGCACCTTTTTTGGATCCAGAAAGATATCTGTGTGATATTCACCGTAGGAAAGTTTTGTGATCTGTGCCTGACCAATTTTGTTTATTGCTCTTGATGAAAACAGGCGTAATCTTGAGAGTTTGAAGGGTCACTGCTCTGTACAGGATATTTCCTGAGGAAGAATTCCATTTGAAACGCTGGAAATAATCCGGAAAGGACGTTGAATGGGATTTTTTGTATGATTTATAGATTTTTTATATCTGTGAATCGTATACAGACGTTATTCATTGCATTAAAAAGAACAGACTTATGACTTACTGAAATGGTATTTTGTACATTTGTGAACTGTGTGCACTTCAAATGACATTACTAATTGCATGTACGAGTTGTTTGACTATTGATACTTTGGGGTCTGATGTTCATGGTCGTTTATTGATTAGATTTGTCACATTAGACTGTGTTTATCATTTATTGTTTATAGCTTCTCACCCTTGACATGTTGCGTCCTCTTCCCCTCCTCCAATAGGGGTTTGTTTCCAGAAGACCTTGTTCCCCCAGACCTACGTGCTCTTTTCCACACCACTGTGGAAGGAGGCCGTCTTTGACCTCCCCGCTACCTTCTGTCTGTGCTCACAGGGACTAGAAACATGTTGTGGATTCCAAGCCGGTTTCCTTTCCCCCCCCCTCCCTGCAGGCCAAGACGAAGGGGATTGACAGTGGCCTGGACATTGGGGTGAAATATTCAGAGAAACAGCAGAGGAGCTTTGATGATGCTAAGCTGAAAGCTGGCCAGTGTGTCATCGGTCTACAGGTGAGTCAGCGGCAGCGAAGGTGGAAGCTGTTGGTGGGGCTAGCGTGCATGGATCAGTGTGTTTGTGTGCAGTCTGAAACGTGGTGCAGTGCTGGGGTTCCTGCAGACCCCGCACCCTCAACGAGAGGCAGATGGTTGTTGTTGCAGGGGTAGTTTTCATTCACAGGCTGCTACAGTTTTCGCCGGTTGACGCAGCTAGCCAGAAAACTGTCCCGTTTCTGGGCCAGTGTGGTGGTGTAGGTAGAGTGCTGGACTAGGACTTCATATTCCTACCTCACCATCGGTGTTCCCTTCAATCCGGAAAGGACGTTGAATGGGATTTTTGTATGATTTATTGATTTTGTATATCTGTGAATCGTATACGTTTCAAACGGACGTTATTTATTGCATTAAGAAAGAACAGATTTATGACTTACTGAAATGGTATTTTGTACATTTGTGAACTGTGTGCACTTCAAATGACATTACTAATTGCATGTACGAGTTGTTTGACTATTGATACTTTGGGGTCTGATGTTCATGGACGTTTATTGATTAGATTTGTCACATTAGACTGTGTTTATCATTTATTGTTTATAGTTTCTCACCCTTGACATGTTGCGTCCTCTTCCCCTCCTCCAATAGGGGTTTGTTTCCAGAAGTACCTATTTATCTACTTGCAATTTCTTGTTTTCGAACTGCTAGGTTGGCAGGAGCTGGAACTAGAGACGGGAGCTCAGTCCATCATGCGGCACCCGGGTCTCGAACTGCTGAGCTACCGACCTTCCAGTCTGTAGTTCAGCGTCTTAACCACTTGAGCCACCGCAACCTCAAACTAATTTATGCAGTAGCCAAATCACCTGCTCACAACTTTGATGCCAGTAGCTCAGAAAGTAGAATTTTTGCTCACAGGACTCCACAGCTTAGAGGGAGCATTGCTCGCCATGATGTTCACTGGGTGATCTTTGGCCAGTCGCACATTCTCAACTTGCTAACCTATCTTGCAGGATCGTTGGGAGGATAAAATGGAGAATGGGGTATGCTGCCTGGAGCTCTTTGCATGCAGTGCTGGGGTTCCTGCAGACCCCGCAACCTCAACGAGAGGCAGATGGGACAACACACCCCCTTCTGTTGTTGCAGGGCTAGTTTTTATTCACAGGCTGCTACAGATTTTGCCGGTTGACGCAGTTAGCCTGGAAAACTGTCCCGTTTCTGAGCCAGTGTGGTGGTGTAGGTAGAGTGCTGGACTAGGACTTCATATCCCTACCTCACCACCGGTGTTCCCTCCAAGCTGAGTCAGTGTGAGCTACCTCACAGTTTTTTAGCCCCTGGCTCACACATTTTTGTCTTAGCTCAGGAAGGATGGCTCTAGAGCAAATTAATTTATAGTACAGGTAAAGGTTTCCCTTGCTTGAAAGCCAGTCGAATCCAACTCTAGGGATGCGGTGCTCATCT